TAGTCACTTGATTTCCTGCTGTTTGACCACAAGAATATCCTTCATAGAGGATAGCTTACTTTTTTTTTTCTTCATGGTGTCATTTGTCAGTAAAAGCAAGAGTCCTGCATGGCAAAGCTGCTGCTACTGACCACCTATTAATCTTGCAGATGTGCCAAATGTAAGCAGTTATTAGTAGGAAAAACACTTCCTAGTAGGTTTTGCATGAGACTAGAACCAAGGAGACCTAGGTGTTGAACTTCCATCAGTTATGAAACTCATTAGGTGATGCTGTGAGTATGTGAAACTGGCTCATCCTATTCTTCACACAATAGTGTGAAAGCAGACAAACCTGGGATACAGGAAGGAACCAGGCAGGAGAGAGAAGAATGGGGAGAGGAGAGATCAAGGTGGAAAAGACAGGGGAAGTAATGCAAGGGAGGACTGCAACACTGAGCTACAAATTTTCCAGATAGAGAAACTGAAAAGAGACAGTGCAAGGAAACTGCTGAGAAAAACTGCAGAAAGGCCAGGGAAGATCTTTATAGTGTTTGGGTAGGAAGACAGGGTGAGGGGAAAAAGGGAGAAGAGACCGAGAGGGAAAAGCAGAGCTGGATAAAGGAGAAGGGCTTTTGAAACTGCGAGGAAGCAATAAATGGTAGTGGCAGCACAAACAGCCGATGGTGTAAGTCATTGACATAAGTGACCACAGCCCTTTTCCCAAATGGCATCAGACACCAGCTGACCCTTCTGCATCCCAGACTTCACTAAGTTCTCATGACAATCCTTGGGCAACAGCTCCTGCAGTCAGAGGTCAGAGGATCTAGTTTATTTTCTACAATCTTTGTAGTAGCATTTATCCAAGTGCACACATGAGTATCGTTTACTGGAATAGCATTATATCTTTCTTACAGAAAAATAATGATTACCAAGTGATTGGGACTACAGGGAGTAAGGTGTAACTACCTGGAAGGTGCAACTGAAAGTTGGAAACACCTTTGACACCAAGGTTGTCAGTGTGGTGGTTGAACATGGAAGTGATTTAATGAGGTAGCTTTGAGATGTCTGTGCCCCTGGAAATAGGCACAGTAGATTACGGCTTAAACAAGGAAAAGGATTCCAGTTCATAATGTGAATGTATAAAATTTAAAAAAATACTTGTGACAAGAGCTTTACTAAAAATGTGCATAGCTTAATAAACTTTGAGTCAACATAAGGGAATACTAATGTTAAATTTTTCATGAAGCAATCTTCTTTCTGTGCATGGTATTTTGCATTTACATAGGTATTAGGCAATATGAAGCTTTGAACAAGGCCAGTGTAAACAATTTAGTTTAGCAGAAGTTCTCCATGGAATCTTGCTCCCAGCATATCACAGATGAAAACAGAGGCACTTCTGTGTACATATATTATCTCTTTTCTCACTCATTGCCGGAGTGCTCCTTCATACTTTTGTGTGTTGCTAAAGGCTGTTCTCTGACTAAGGTGTGCTGTTGCATCCACAGCATGTCAAAAAGGACTCCTGTATGTGAATGGGACTTGGGCGAAAGCTGTTATACAGATGATAGCACTAATAACTGATCTGTGCATGAACTGTAATAGTTCCTTTTAGACAGTTATACCCCATTTTTTGTCTTTGTCTCTAGTAAATCACTGCCCAGTTCTACCCCCGAGGAGATGTTTGTGATGTCTCTTTAAAACTTAGTGTGTGAGAGAAAAAAAAGGGGGAGAGAAAGCAAAAGCAAGTGAGCAAGCATGGATTCAGGTTTCAGCCCCCTCTTCTCACTGGCTAGACCTTAGTGAGAAAAATATATCTTAAGTCTTGTAAGTAGACTCTAGGATGTATACTGAAAAATGCATGCAACTGGAATACATAGTACCAGTGACAACTAGTTCTAACCTACAACATCCATAACTCCTCTGCCACCCAGATTTTTGTCCACTTCAAAACTGTTGCTGAATAAGTTTGAACCCAGACATCCTATATGTGTAATAGGATCCATTGCAAGACTAAATATGCTAAAATGTGTATTTTTTTAAGGACAAAACTGTTACAACTAATGTATTAACACATCCAGCTTCATGTGTTTGGTGGACACATTATTATCATTACAGTGAATTTATATCCCTACCCACCTTCTGAGAAATCCAGGGCAGCTTACACAGCTCCATGTTATCCTCACAACAGTCCTGTGAGGTAGGTTAGGCTGAATGAGTGACTATCCCAAAATCACTCAGTGAACTTCATGGTTGAGTGGGGACTCAAAGCCAGATCTCCCACATTCCCAGTCTGCACTCTGACTACTTGGAAAACAACAGAGATGCAATGGAGAAGGAGGCTGGAGGTACTTAGGCTGTGGTCTCTGGTATGAAAGTAGATGTTATAGAAACAGAGTGAGTCAGAAGGGGCCTCCCGGGCCATCTAATCTCACTTCCGGCACTAGCCGGCTCCACTCATGACATGCCCACCATGTGCATGTCCAGCCTGTCTTTGAACACCCACACCAATGGGGCCTCAGCGACCTCTCGTATTTATTTATTGACCTCTCGTGAGGTCAATGAATGAGTATTTATTCATTGAAATGCTGGAGATAATGCCTGCCTGATTTAGAAAAGTGGGAGGAGTGGGGAAAACTCAATATTCATTGATTTTGTTACTAATACCCCACCTGAGAGCTTTAAGTTTTGGAACTTCTGATGCTCTATTACTTGGCTTTATGATGTGACTTGTGGGGCAATTCCTGCAAGGGGAATGGCACATTTTGCAATGGGTAAATCCTAGCAGATCCAGCTAATGGCTTACAAGGAGCCGAGATAGATTCCGACTCAGCTGATAAAGCTCATTACATAATTTTCTATGCTGTTTTAGCATGTGAAAGATTAAAAGGGACCACCAGAACTCAAAGGATAGTTAATAACTGCAGCAATGAGTAGTGTGTTTAATGAAATGGAGAGTGTCCGTGGCTTTTTATGCCAGAAACAAAGTTAATCTTTAAAATTCCATAAGATTGTGTTGTTTCTGTCAACACGTATCTCCCTCAGATAAAAACTAAAGATCTGAGGGGCAACAAGTATTAGCTTTAGGTTTAATCTGGAGTTGCAAGAATAAAAGGCTAATTGGTAGTAGAAGGTGAATAAAGAGAACACTATAATGGTTCCTGAATGGATTTATTGAAGATGCAGGTTTTGGGAGCAGGCTTGCGAGAAATGACTGTGAAAGACAGGCTGCAAAAGATGTACAGAGTGTGGCATGGCAGAAGGCAGAAACATGGGTTCTAGCAGGAAGTCACAGTTTCTTTCAGATGGCAAAAACTGTTCTGCCATGGTCATAATTTCATAGAAGTAATAAATCTTGAGAACAACTACACATCTTGGTTTATGTTTCCTCTTACTAGTCAACGTTCACTGAACTAGGAAACCAGTTTCTGTTTTTTTGTGGTTTATTTGTTACTTAAAGCTGTTATTCCTGGTAGCTTATCCATGTACACTCACCATTTTGGGTTTCTAACTTTTGATGAGGAAACTACAAATCTCAATTTCAGGATGGTCTTGTTAGTGTTTTTAGTAAATGATGCTCATGCAGTCTGGATGGTACAGCTGAAAGAAGACACTGTTATTTTCAAAAGTGAAGCTGAAGCAAAAGTCAAGCATGATTCACAAAAACACATTTGTTCTTTTTCCAAGTATGCTGAGTAAATGTGGATTTTATTTACACATCCATCAACAAGTTGTCGTTTCAGTTAAATTGATTTTTTTTTAAAAAGGTGTTTATGACTTTGAGCTGGTACAAGCATAGAATGCGCTTTAGGAGTAAGGTCTTGTGAACTTGTGTGATCTCCTCACCCAACTGCCCCCTTTAAACAGGGTTAGTGTTCTATGTGAGGATTGATGAAAACATGTATTTCTAAATTCTCTTTGAGAATCTGGAGAAGAGGAGATGGTCTTAATGTTACAGCCAGCATTCTGTTCTATACAGTGGTTAGAGGATATGCCTGATTTGAGCTTCAGTTATGCTACTTCCAATATAGAATTCACTTGCAGGATATAATGGGGTGATATCTCTTTCCGGTTTCCTTTATTTCTGGATTGTGCTTCAGCACAGATAAATATGAGATGCAATTCCTAATTCCTTTCCCAGAAAGCATTGTGTTTCATGTAGTTTAGTACTCTTTTGGCAGACTGTGCTGTCTATGAAGCGACTTTGAAGATTTACTGGTAGATGTTGCAATTTTGACACTTCCTCCTTAAAGATTTTAAAAATAACAACTGATCTAAATAACAATATAAAATAAAATGCAAACTTTTATGTGTAGTTATTAAGGCTGATTCTTGGAAAAAAAGAATTGTATGCGTGCTACAATTAATGTTTTCTTTCACATTTAGGTCTGCACACCCTTTAAAACACTGTGAAGGGTGGTCTATTCATTACTTAAATGTGGAGAGTGTGTGCAAAAATCCATGCATATATGCTTCCTGCTTGAGTGTTTATGCAAAATGTGAAAATGAAGTGAAGCTGCCATTTCTGACTTTAGGAAAGTTCATATATATCCAGCAATGACCAAAAAATTTCATTGGAGATGTACAATGTTCATACAAATAATCCCAAATAACTTTATAAATGTTACTTTCTTTTGAGATAATTTATACTATACAAATGACATATTCAGAATGACTATCTTAGTAAATATAGTACCTTTTTGTTTCTGGTATAAATTGTCATGCTGTTGATGTGCTACAAGGTTGTCTTTATAATATTTCATATTATGGAAAGTGAATGCTGTTGAAAAGTAGGCAATCTGTTCAATGAGGTATGCACTAGTGGAAGACACAGTCCACTGACTAAGGATGTATCTTTAGACTTAATCCAGAGCCAACAAGCTCTTTCTGTACAAGTCGCAGAGGGTCATTCTGCAGGTGGCTAGGTTCTTTTCCCCATAGAGTTATTTTTGAACACAGTCAAAAGCTGAGGAACTGGATATTTGGAAAATATTATCACAGCAGTCTGCAACTTTTTTATTTAGGTCTTTCACTTGCTGCATTCCTACTTCGACTCCAAACACAGGGCTAATTCAGACTTTCTGCAAGGCCTGGGCAATATCATCACTTGTATTGAAGCCAAGCTGTGGTTGGCTAAGAGGTAAGTTAAAAAACCAAATTTATCTCAGGTCGATAATGCATTGTTCAGTTGAAATATTTGTGTGGGCAATGACATAACCCTACCAGTGTTATGAATAACTTTTAGTTTGATTAACGAACCATATTGTGGGGTCGGAGTAGGGTGTTCTCCTTCAAAGTATGGAAAAAGTGTTATTGTGAGATAAGGGGTGCAGGCAGCAGGCAACTAAAGCTGGAGCCCTGGGACCAGAGTGCAAATGTAGGGTAGAGTCTGGCAGCAGGTTCAGAGGGCCAGAAGCAAGAGGTACAATTGCTCCTCAGCTGTTCCCTGCAAGTAGCTGCAAAGGTGTTTCTGGTTCTGCAGGCACTTGCAGGCTTACTCAGGCCCTGATTCTGACAGTTATGGTTATGATTTTTTTGCTCTTTTTCAAATACTTCTGTTGCCATGCCAAATAATTAATTCTCATTTATGTAAATAAAGATGCCTCTCTAGCTCTTTGTTTTTTCCTGTCAGTTGAAATACAAGGGCAAATTTCTCTCTCAGAAGTCAGAGGAAGTGAAATTCTAGTATTGGAAGAGCCAAAAAAGCCCAAAATATGACAGCTAACAGATACGATGACAGTTTCAGGATACAACTCTATAGCCATTTTGCTGTTCTTGGCAGAAAAGTAGGGCTGAAATAAGTCACACATTTACTTGGAAGTAAGCCCCATTGAATTTCTGTAGGACTACTAAGTAAACATATATAGAATTGAGTGTTAGTATCACATATAAGTGTTTTTCAATTATTGAAGCTTTCTGCCTCAAGGCGTTCAACATGATTGAATACATTGGATTAGGCATTCTGACAAGACACAGTCCACTTCAAAGGTGATCTACAGTGGTATCCAACAGAGCACTTAACACCAACACCAATTTTCCTATGCCCTGCAGATTCCTTTCCCTGCATGCCTATTGTTTATGCAAGGGAAATTTAATGCATCTGGATACAACCTGAAATGAAGGAAGGAGGGAAGGAAATTAATTAGTGGATCTGCAAAAAGAAGCTGTGCCACTTCCTTTCTTTCCGAGAATTGAGTATTTCCACTCATTTTTGGGGCTTCCTCTAGGAAGTGGTGAATCTTGCTTTTGTGGTTGGTCCTACTTGCATAAAGGAATTGATGGGGGCCATCCTTTCTGAGATAAGAATGGTGCAAGCACCCTGGCTACCTAATACTATAACATTTTGTTCTGTCTCTTTCCACCCCCCTCTACTCACACTCTAAAATGGTATTTAACATGTATTTTTCTCTGTGTTTATACCTGTTCTGACCATCTCTATACATAGTTTGGCTTGTTTAGGGACATTGCTTGTGTTAATGGCAATACAAATAGAGTCAGTTCTCCCTGCCCTCTTTATGCAGCTTCTTTCCTCTTCTGTTTCTTGCTTTTTGGGTAAGGGTGGAGTGCAGCTTGGATTTCATTGAACCACATCATCATTTAGAATATTCTCTCCTCCAGCTCTTTAGCTGAATGAGTGACATATGCAGGCAGAATGAATCTTGGTAGCATGCTAGAACAAGGTTCTACCCTAAGGAAAAGAGGTCCTATATGGTACAAGTTTCACCAGCAGTGCAGGCAAGCAACCTCTTTCCTCAGAAGGAACAGAAACACTAACTGCATTATTTTTGTTCAACAGATCACAATATAGTTGTGTGATACAATTATGTACAGATACACATGCACGTGCGCGCGCACACACACACACACACACACTGTTGATCCAGCAGAGTGATGTCCTTAATATCAATTCCTCTCTGAAATTCATCTTGTGTCTGCATCACAATGAAAATTGTGTAACTGTCAGCAGACTAGAAATATGCAAATAAGGCCTAATTTTTTCACTTTCTGTACAGCTTCCTCTTGTACTCGCACGTGTGTGTGTAATGGAGACCATTAAGATACTACCAAGATGAGATTTGTATGACTATTAAAATATGTTGTATTCTGCTAAAATTATTAGTTAATGCTGTTCATCTTTTCTGTGAACAAATATTTATATTCACTAAATAGTCTTGCTGTAGCTCTACTGTTCACTTTTCTGACTAGCACATCCAGGAAGTGAAAAATATGTAACATATTATATTATATTATATTATATGTCTGGAGCTTTAAGAATACATAGAACGAATTAACACTAAGACTGAAAATGGGCTTATTCTGTATAAAAGTTAATATGTAGCTAGGCATGCATACCTTTATACTGCCTTTTCACTAAAAACAATACTTGGAAGCTCTTAGTTTTCCAAACATCTCTGCTTTGGCTTTTCCTTTTAACACTGTTTAAATGGAATGTAAAAATTAGCTTTATCTGAAAGTTTTTCTTAGAAGAAAATAACTAAGTTAAAAGGTATCTAATATATTAATCAACATGGTCTCTTAATGGTCTCCATGTGTCTCTCTCTCTCTCTCTCTCTCTCTCTCTCACACACACACACACACACACACACACACGAGTACAAGAGGAAGCTGTGCAGAGAGTAACTTTACCGAATGATTTTTGTGGGTCTTTGCTCTTTTTTTTCTTACAGTTAATGCTGAAATAATTGCCATGCACAGTTTATATTCTACTCAAGTACTACTTGGCAGCAACTGTAACAGTAAAGCACTTAATAACACAGAGAATATAATGTTCAAACCATGCTGAATTTGTACATACGATCTTCCTTAAACACAGTTTGTCCATCTTTGAATCATTGGGTCAGGGAGTTCCAGTATTCACGCAAACATGGACTAACAGGTTCAGGCAGTATGATATGATATTTTTCCCACTACTATTTACCACTTGGTTTGCATCTGTCTGAAACAATAAAAATAACAAATAAGATTAATCATGCAATAAAAACTATCATAAATAAAAACCAGCATACAATAAAAACAGTAGTCTAAAGCAGTTCAAAATAAAACTAACTAAATAAAAAAGGTAAATTACCCTTAAAAGGAACAGAGATATAGAATTGGTATTCTCCTTCAGGAGAGAATTCAACAGGATGGGTTCCACCACCAGGAAGGCCCTGTTAGGTCACAGCCTTGCCTTCCTCGAATTCAACATTTGGTGGGACAGTTCATATGGGAGAAGACATTATTTCAGACAGATTCTACCCATTTGTAGGATGGAGTCATGGCATGTGATCCTTCTGTTCACAGATTAACTACTTAGTAAAGTATCATCTGAACAGTTTTAGCACATACTTTGTAGAAGTTAAAAAAAATTAATAGATTAAAAAAAGAACTGCCACCCATTCTAAGCTTTAAGTCACAGGAATATTTCTTCAACACTTGTGTCTAAGTAATGCCAGGCAATTCTTTCATAGTACCTGATAGAACCCCTCTTGGATGCAAACCTTAGTGTGGTGAGGGATTTGAGTGTGTCAGAGAAACCAAGAGCAATGCTGCCAGGAGGTCAGAATGACTCATTAGATTGGTTCCCTAGTAGGATCACCCAAGGCTGAATGGTCAAAGTGGTAACTGAACTCTGGACTGACAGAATGACAAACCAGTAGGTACTAGTTCAACTCAAGCCAGAACTTTGCCAGGAAGCAAAAATGATGAAACTGAAGCTATCATACTTTGGGCATATCATGAGGAGTCGAGACTCATTGGAGAAGACAATAATGCTAGGGAAAGTAAAAAGCAGAAGAAGATCAAGTATGAGATGTATTAGACCTGTGAAGGAAGCTGTAACCTTGAGTTTACAAGAGCTGAGCACAACTGTCAAGGACACTACAAACTGGAGGGCATTTATTTATTTATTTATTTATTTTCTTTCCACCTTTCCTTCGTTGTGGAACTCAATGGGAGAAAGGAACTCCCATTTATGTTTTACCTTTCTCCCATTGTGGAACTCGATGTGGTTCCCAGGTGGTCTCCCCTCCAAGCTCTGGCCACTTCCAAACCTGCTTAGCTTCAACATGGTAGATGCCTTATGTGCCTTCAGACCATTTATTCATAGGATTGCCTTAAGCTGGGGATGACCTGATGTCATATAACGATGCCTGATAGAAAGCTACATGAGGAAAGGATTGGAGCATAATAAGTTGGGAGATGGGTTGGGAGACGGCTAGAGTGTAGGTGGAGGAAATCTCGGGATGAATCTGACCAAACACATTTAAGAGCTCATTATCGAGCCTATACTGTGGTGGTGCGGGCGGCGAAGAAATTCTTCTCCACTTCCATTGCCTTCTCACAGTGCCATCCAGCGGAGCTTTTTTGGGTGGTACAGGGGCTGGTACATCCAGGCCCTAAGAAAGTTCCTGTACCACCCTCGATAACCCGCTGTGATGACTTTGCCCAGCATTTCAAGGAGAAAATTGCTCAGATTCATCATGAGCTGGACTCCACTAGTGATTCAGATTCCGTAGGGGAGGTGCCAATGTTACCGTCTGGTCACATATTGTTGGATGAGTTTCAGTTATTGTGGCCTAATGATGTGGACAAGGTGCTTGGACAAGTATGTCCCACCACCTGTTTACTTGACCCTTGCCGGCCGTGGCTACTGTCCAAAGCCAAACACGGGATTGGTGCCTGGATCCTGGAGGTCATCAATGCCTATCTGAGGGATGGCTGGATGCCTGCCTCTCTAAAGGAGGCAGTGGTTAGGCTGGTCCTAAAGAAGGCGTCCCTGGATCCAGAGATGGCCACCAATTATAGACCGGTGGCCAACATCCCGTTCTTGGGCAAGGTGTTGGAACGGGTGGTGGCGGGACAACTCCAAACGCTCTTGGATGAGACTGATTATCTGGACCCATTTCATTCCAGCTTCAGACCTGGGTATGGTACTGAATCTGCCTTGGTCACCCTGTATGATGACCTGTGCGGGGAGAGAGACAAGGGGAGTGCGTCCCTGTTGGTTCTCCTGGACCTCTCAGCGGCTTTCGATACCATCGACCATGGTATCCTTCTGGATAGGCTAAGGGGGCTGAGAGTAGGAGGCACTGCTTTCCAGTGGTTCTTCTCCTACCTTGACAGCCGATTCCAGAAGGTGGTGCTGGGGGACTTTACCTCTGCGCCATGGCAGCTATGCCATGGAGTACCGCAGGGATCCATTTTGTCCCCCTTGCTATTCAACATCTACATGAAACCGCTGGGAGAGGTCATCCAGAGGTGTGGGCTGTGGAATCATCAGTACGCTGATGATACCCAGCTCTACCTCTCTTTCTCAACAAATCCAGGTGAGGCAGTGGCTGTACTGAACCGGTGCCTGGCCGAGGTAATGGGCTGGATGAGGGCCAATAAACTGAAGCTCAATCCAGACGAGGTGGAGGTTCTGTTGGTGGGTGGCTTGGGCTCCGGGGTAGGTGACTTGGACCTTGTCCTGAATGGGGTTGCACTCCTTCTAAAGGACAGGGTCTGCAGCTTGGGAGTGCTCCTCGACCCAGAGCTGTCTTTGGAAGCTCAAGTGACTACTGTGGCGAGGAGCGCTTTCCTTCAGCTTCGGCTAATCCATCAGCTGCGTCCCTACCTGGAGGACGACTGCCTAGCAACAGTGGCCATGCATTGGTTACTTTCTGATTGGACTACTATAATGCGCTCTATGTGGGGCTGCCCTTGAAGACAGTCCAGATACTTCAGATGGTGCAAAACCAAGCACCCAGGTTGCTGACAGGGACTGAGCGTTACTCTCATATAACCCCAGTCCTCTACCAGCTTCACTGGCTCCCCATCAAAGTCCAGGCTCAATTCAAGGTGCTGGTTATTACCTACAAAGCCCTTAACGGCTTGGGACCTGGATACCTAAAGGAACGCCTGCTTCCTTATTTGCCCTCCTGCCCCTTGAGATCGGCAGCAGAGGCCCTCCTCCAGGAGCCCTCCATGAGAGACATCAGGAGGCAAAGTACCCGGAGTAGGGCTTTCTGTGCGGTGGCGCCCCATCTGTATAATGTGCTCCCCAGAGAGGTCTGCCTGGCTCCGTCATTATTTATTTTACGGCACCAGGCTAATACCTTGTTATTTAAAAGATATTTTAATAATGCTTAATATCTATAGGTTTTAATTGTGCAGCCAGGGTGTTTCCGGATTTTAATTGTATTTTCTACCATGTTTATTTATGTGAGTCGTCCTGAGGCTATAAGTGATGGGATGGCATACAAAAAAACTCTAAATAAATAAATAAAATAAATAAGTAGTAAGTGGATCCACATTTTTGGCTATATAATTATTTTTTCTACAAGAAATGTGTAAAAAACTGAATTTAGAAAGCTTGGTTTGTGTGCTTTAATGCATTTTGGACTTTCTTATCTCAGTAATAGGCAAAAGATATGCTGCTAACAACATGATACTCTTATGGTATTGGATGTCAAGCAACCCTGTGTTGACTTAATGGTTTAAGGAATAATTTAAAGACATTTAACTTTTCTCATTGATTTTATTTCAAGGCAAAATCCTTGTTTGGTGACTAGAGCAACATATCTTGATGTTCTTGTCCTGCTAAATAGTTACCTTGGGAAATACAGAATAAAAGGTAAGATTGAGCTAATGTTTCTGGTAAGAGAACTTGGAGTCCAATATGCTGAGAAGCTGAAATGGATTCACTATGCAAAGGCTTCTCCGACCTCTTACTAATAAAGTTTTCAAGTTAAGAAAAAAATTGAGCAAGACAACCTTACATAAAGTTTCAGAGTATCTTAGAAACTGGGAAGGGAGGAAGACATTCTGATTTAAAGGTCTGTGAAGGAGGAACTTAGGCAAACAAAACCCACGACTCCCATTCCTCTCATCCCAGCAAGCTCAGTAAGAAAGACAAATGAAAAAAGACATTGTTTAGGCTTTCTCCCTTTCTTGGCCTGTTACAACATACATAAAAACAGGGTTGGGAAAAGAGGAGTTTGTACTTTCCTTGACAACTCCCTCTCTTTGAAATGGCCAGCATCATGCTTGGAGAACTGCTTCTGGGTCTTGCAGAACTTTTAATAGAGAACAGGTTCTCATAATTTTAATATTAAAGTGAATCGTTAGAATCATTTCTACGTTTCCTACGTGTCCCTCAGAGGCTGTATAATGCAGTTTGTCAGCTCTGACAACGTCACTCCTCAGTGCTGTATACTAATGAGCAACTTACCAATGTTATATTCATTTTAGATAATAGTAGGAATAATAGTCCTGGGTGGACTATGTATTCAAGAGCAGTAAGAATGCTATATTACTGGGATCACTTTTAAAAAGATGAAGAGGATAATTTCATTTCCTCATCTGTTGGACAGCTAGTTTTAGATTGTATGTCCTATCAGATTTTAGATTGTATGTCCTATCAGATTTGAGGGTGACAGCATGATGGATAATTCAAGACCTTTATCCAAGCTCAGTCCTCATAGCACCACTCAAGCGCTCCACAATATCTGTTCAGGCCCACCTCTTCCTACTTCTGTAGCCTCATTCCCACTTCATTGTCCATTATGAACTGATTGGCATGGGAGTGCTTGGAACTCATTTTGCCTGACTACCCTGTCCTTTGTTTTCTGTGAACTGAACACTGCCAGCAAGACCTGAGAAAGAAGCAAAGACCACTCTCAGTCCAGAAGCAGCATGCAGTTGGATCACAGCATTAGTGCTATTGTATTAAGTTCAAATTTCCATGTAGAAGAAACCAAACTGTCTGGTTTTATTGTCCTATTTGTCTTCAATATTTTAATATTTTAGCTGCTCCATTCTTTGGAGTACAGTGGTACCTCAGCTCACAAAGGCCTCAGTTCACAACCAAATCGGCTCGCGAACAAAAATGTCATTAAATTTTGACTCAGATCACAAACTCTGCATTGGGTGGTGACTGCGATTATAGCCATCTCTCCTCTCCCCTGAGTGGGGAGATGGGCATGATCGTGCTGGGGGCAGGGGGGAGATGGTCGAGATCGCACCCGTCTTTCCTTTACGAGCGCACCCATGATTGTGCCTATCTTTCCTGCAGGAGCGCAACCGTGATTTCGGCCATTTACCTCCCCCCCACACGATCGTGCCCATCTTCCCCCCAAGTGCACCTGCATTCACGTCCCTCTCTCCCCCCACAGCGCACCCACGTTTGTGCCCGTCTCCCCCCACCCCACAGCATGCCAGGCTGATGGGCACATGCAGGGATGACAGGCGCAATCACGGTTGTGCTGGCGGGGGGTGGGGAGATGGCTGCGCTCATGCTTGGGGTGGTGGTGGTGGTGAGATGATTGCAATCTTTGTTCTTTGTCACTTTGCTTCACATTTTTCTGATTTAAAAAAAAAGTTACAGAACGGATTAACTTTATTTACATTGAACTTACGGCGAAATTTAACTTGACCAGAGTCCTGGAACGGATTAAGTTCGTGAGCCAAGGTACCACTGTATATCTCTACACCATCTCCATGCCTAGACAAGAATTCTATTGCTTATTAAGTTGCATCTTGAAACTAAGTAGGGTGTGTTCGTTCATCTGAAAATAAAAGTGAAAATGTTTCTTGATGTTCTTTTGTGAAAAGGCTCTGCAAAGTGCCACACAGAAGTTCCGTGCTACTGAGTTTGATCAACACAAATGGAATTCAGCACAATGTGTCTGAAATTAGACAGTGACTGTTTAAGTCTGCCATAAGAGAAGCTATAACTACAGAAACATTTCCAAAATTTGCCTGCCTTGTACTTCTGTTCTCTACCATCATTTTCGTCATGAATATTTATGTTTTAAAAATGCAATTCTTAAAGTGGAGAGGAGGACATCCAGGGACGGAGAAGCCAATGCTGCCTGAACTTGAAGGCACACTTCTGCTTTCAAAGCAGTTAGACAGCCAAAATTTACTGCTTAACTGTGGGATTTTGGAGAGGGAGTGAAGGAAGCTGAGGCACCATCAGGTTATGTTGCATCTTGACAGGAGTGGTCTGCTCTCCTTCCCTACCAAAATACCCCCTAAGCACCTTCTCCAAGGCTACTCTTTCAGCCTGGGAGAGGTGATTGGCCTGGTTCTTTCTGTGCCAGCTGCAAGGGTGGGGGAAGGACATCCTCAAGTCCAAGGTTGGAAGTATTTGGAGTGTTCTCCTAGGCATTGTCTGGAGGCCATAGGTTTGCTCTGTAAGAGTGATGATTTTAATACTTAACACTAAATAGCAGTTAGCATAAGTTGTATTCATTTATTTACTTCAAATATTTATATATAGCCTGCATTATCATCTCACAGGGCAGTGTTGAAAATGCATTCAAACAACAATAAAATACAGCAATGAAAACAGTAACAGCTGTCGTTATATCCATTCTTGCCTAAGTCAGTTTATCCTTAATATTTTCCAGTCCCCATGTTGTCTTTAGGAACACTTGTTTTCTAAAACCTTACCAAATGCATTGTTTTTCTTAGACACAAGGGAACAAAACTTACCACTTCAAAATAAAATGTTAATCCTGTTCTTTCCAGAAAAAGTGTAAGGAAATGTGACTTCTGCATAACAGTAAAAGTATAAAATGTGTTATGGCCTAGAAAAATAATATATTTTTGTCTTATTTTCCCATAATTTGTTTATAAGTATTCATAAATGTTATATTAAATTCTCCACTGCACAGCCACAGTATCCTTAAGAACAATGTCTAGTGTTCTTATCCAAGGAAAATACATTTTTCATTTTTATTAACTAGAATAAGTTATTCTTAATAGGATTTTCTGCCAAATACAATATTTTTCATTTGTGTTTTGGTTTTCTCTTAAGCACAAATACATTTCTATAACCATTGTTGAGAATGGTACTAAAAATTTTAACTGATTGTTTCAGTGATACACCAATCTAAGTTGTGGATCATTTTAATAATGGATTTGTAGTGCTACTTTCAAAAGAAGTTAAACATTACTTTAAAAAAATATTCTCACAAGCTGCCAAAAAGGAGAGACTTTAACTGGCAAAATTCATGAAAAGCAGTTAAAAGGGCTGCAGTGTATATATCTGTGGCTTTGATCATGTTACAGGAATAAATATCAGAACTGGTGCTGTTGATTTTTTTTAATACTTAAAATTTCTTAAGAATTGTGGCCAAAAATGTAAAAGTATCAAAACTTGGTAGTGCCATGTACACTTTTATTTTGTGGCCTATTTGACTAAATCTGACCATACCCCTCTGAACAAATTGAAAACAAATTATTTCAGTCATGTCATATGTTTGGGTTTCTTGATGGGCATGGTCCAATTAATTTTGATATAAAAGGTCACATCTCCTTACACTTTTTTTAAATTGAATTTTATACCACCTGGCAGTGGAAGCTGTCTAGGTGGTTCACTTTTATGTTTGTAGAAAGAGTATGGCTAAGTATATATGTATTTAAAGTGGTGACTTGCTGTGATATCTGAGGGGAAAATATTCATCTCCAGTTATTAGCATTTCATTAAAATCTGTTTCAAAGTCTCTTCCACTCCCACTGTCCTGCATCCTCTGCATCAAGTTGATTGATTGATTGATTGATTTAAACAATTATATATGCCGCCCCATTGCATGAGCCTCGGGGCAGCTTTCAATCATAAAGTCCTGCATAAAATACAAAAAAAAATCAACTATTCCTCTGGCTTTCAGCATCTCATATGTGCATTTCATATCTGCATTTCAGAAAGTAGACTTTCCCCCTGTCTTACATGGGAAGACCTTTGAACAAGAAGAATTAACTGCCATGTGACCTTTTCTATTAGATTTTTACTTGCACCCGTTTTTCTTGTTTTTTCTTGTTTTTGTAACTCCATTTCTCTAAGAGACTTTCCTTGAAAACCTATTTATGATCTTTAAAATAATATTTTGCTTGTGGGCTGCCCACTGCTGTGTGTGTATGATTCCATGGACTGGGGCATTAACCCAACATTGTAGAAGAGAGTAAGATCAGAGGCCAAAGCTAGATATTGTACAGAAAAATTTTGTCTGGATCTCCTGACATGTTTTTCCAGACTTAAAAACCGCTTCAGGCAAGAGGCAAATTGGATTGAATCAAGTGTTGTGGGGAGGATGTTAAACCTTCCCTTCCCACAAGCCATTTTCCTGATCAAAATCTTAAACCATTAATGAAGCTAATAACCTCACTAAAGGAAAAAAAAGTTGGGTGCCTGTATTTTTCCAGTAGTGTAGCTATCAAGTATGCTCCCAGCTATTTGATAGCAAATTCAATTAGGAAAAAGTGCTAGAAGCAAGCATTTTTTCAAAATGCGAAAACAGTGCTGTGGCCCCAAACCAATTGCATTCCAGTCGCTTCTGAGGTGGAAAAGGTGTCATGAGAGGTGTCATGAGAACTAATTGCAGAGTTCCTACATCTCAGTTCTTACATCAGAGATAGCCAGATGCTTCCATCCATATGGTTAGCATAGCAGTGGCACTAACCCTCTGAGGCTCAGAAAAAAAGTCTCTCTCTCACCAACCTATAGCATCACACCCACCTTTTAAGTGTCTCTTGTGCCCCACCCCTTGGGGGCAGCACTACCCCATACTTTTAAGAACCACAGCTTTAATCTACTTTGCCATCTTGGCTTGGATATGCTTTAAAGAAAAC